TTCAGGGACACATGGTGCCAATAACAATTCAGCCAAAAACTTGCCTGAAAATTTCCAGTGATGGTAACCGATAACTGGAGGAGAAGATGTCCTTTAAGCTTCTTTTCCGGGTGGGGACAAAGCTGGGGTCAAGCTGTAAACTTTTGAGCCAAAGCTTGGCCTGTCTGTCGTCCCAATTCTGTTAACCCTTTTGCCGCTGTACTCAGGTTTCCAGGTTGAGAGAAATCCACCTGTATTAACACACTAAAACATTCACTTACTATTTCTTTTCTGAAAACATCCATTCACTTCATCTGCCTAGATTTTACTCTCTCTCTCGGTGCATACTTCACACAGTCAGGCAGTTGCCTTTTATGGGCATGCAGAGTTCCTGTCACACACACAGCTACTCACTCCAGCAGCTGCAAAGCCGTCTTCACGTCCTCTCTCCACACTCTCCGCCACAATCCTCCGTCCTCAATATGAATGTATAAAACCAGTAATAATTATCCCTAGAAACACACAACTTCAAGAAAATTCATTGTATTTAATCATCTATTCGTATTCACTGTGACAAATGCAATTCATGTAGAGAAGATCCCCTATAGGTGAAATTTCAATTCGGCACGACCCTGAAATAAGCATGCCTTTTATCTAAGTAAAATGAAATTACTACACCACCTCTAGTGCTGAAATTCGTGCTTGATCACACCCTATATTATGATAAAACCAACAGTAAATCAGATGTAACCGCTTATATTATTGAACTGAAACAAGAACCACTTAAAAAAAATCTTATAAATCCTGCTTCGCACCACAAAACTGAAACAAATCACAGCTGTATTTATCACTCAATCTCACCCTGCCGACTGAAATGCTGGTCTAGATCATGCACGATTTGTCTCTTCTATATCAAAACCCAGCCAAACATCAAACATTCAGCGTAGTCATTCAAAACCTTATTTGTAATATTATAATCAGCAAAATCAGTGTTTTAATTACAGGCATGTATCATTGTTTGCAAATCATAATTATAAAACTCAAAAACACGCTAAACAGGAAGCAAAAGTCCTCTGTGCGCTTCACCTCATTTGCATGTTCACACACCGTCTAAAAATAGCTCGCAGCGCTGCAGCTGCACGTCACACACAGTCTCACACAAATCTCTGTTATTTTATATTACAAAGACGTCTTATATTTACAATCACTGCAAGGCCTGACAGATTTAGTGCCTACACAATTTTGACAAATTTAAGTTAACGGGTCCAACCGAAGAAAGTCCAACTTTTTTGTAATCAATTAACCAGTATCAGACTCTAACTGTATCTGGCCTAATCTCTAAAGTCCCTAACTCAATTTAACAGTGTCCGAAAAAGCGCAGATACCTTTCTAAACGGTAAAGTGGTGAAACCACTAGTTATTCTGGAGTGCCCCAAGCTCCACAGTGACCAATTGACTATCCCTCAAAGAGGACAAGGCCTAGGCGTCCCCGGCCTTGGCAAGCGTTACCTCTGAGCACTGCGCCTCTTAGCAGACTCTAACTGCAGTCCTATAATAATTTACAACACCTTAAAACAACAGTCAACCCCCCAAAACAAGGGTATGACTGAGGCAGGTGCAACCTAGTGGTCAATGGAGCCTCTAACTCACAAAATGACCAATTCCCTATCAAACTACTTGAGCCTCTAACTCAATTTCTTAGCAGCCTCTAACTGCTTTAAATACTCTCATGAGATTTTTTCATCAAAATCAAAACAGACCCTCTACCAGTATTTTCAGTGAGTAGACTTTAATTTTATCATGTCCAATTTGGCACACTTTGGAAATAATTCAACAGGTAGTGCCTTACCTTTG